CCGTAATACAGTCAAGCCCTTTCCAGCGCGCGCGATCCACCCCCGCCACTTTGCACCTTGCAAATGCAAAAACCTCGGGATTTTGCATTTGCAAGGTGCAAAGCGGCGGCGACGGATCGCACGCGCTGGAAAGGGCTTGACTGTATTACGGAGAGAAAGAGAGAGAGAGAGAGAGAGAGAGATCATAAGAACGGCTCTTGCTTTTTTCTTGCAAGGGAGAGAGTGACTCCTGCCTCCCACTGTCATCATCATCATCTTCTTTTGGGTTAGTGAATCAATTAAACCTTTCATGATAGTGAGATCGTTTCCCAAATTTCCCTTAAATCAGGGAAGAAATCAGAAACAAACCTTTGGACTGAGAATAAGCCTGTTCCTATGATGCCATTTTTGTTCACTTGCAGTGTGAAAAGTGTGAAAAAACACACTTCTTCTTCATCTTGTTCCCTATTTACTGGTCTCTTTCAAAGAGGAAATTGTGAACATCAAACTTATTCTCAACTGTCCTAGTGAAAGTTTTTATTGGTATCTATTTTTATTTTTGAAATTTACCAGTAGCTGCTGCATTTCCCACCCTAGGCTTATACTCGAGTCAATAAGTTTTCCCAGTTTTTGTGGTAAAATTAGGTGCCTCGGCTTATATTCGAGTCGACTTATACTCGAGTATATACGGTATTTTATCTATCATTTTAATCACACTTGTTTCATATTTTCAAAGTACATTTCTGTTTCTAATATAACAATACTATCTTATGCACCCTTGTAGAATCCCCTTTTCAATTAAGTTTTCACCCATTATCTCTATGTCTTCTAAATAGGCTTATACCTTTAATCCTTGTACATTTTCCTTGTTTCTCTATATCCTGTTTCTGTCCTTTATAATTTATTTTCCTTTCCTTCTTCCCCCTCTTCTTCTCCCTCCCCTTTTTGACCCATTGTCTCTCTAATTCTGATTCTCTCTTCTGTAATCCTCTCTTCTGTTTCTTCCTAATGTTGTAATTACTTTTCAAACTATTCTTTTTTGGGGGTTGTTTTTTCAGATCTTAAATTTTTCGCTCTTTCCCCCCTTTCCTTTCTTTTCCCCACATAGAATTACTTGATCATTGAAGATGGCTTCTTCTTTGTCCCACCCTTCTTATTCTACTGGCATTTCTTGCTGTTTCTCATAGTTCAGGATCTCCATTTCTAAAAATTGAAATGCGAAGCCAAAAAAACCTCTTTCTTCTTGTGCATCTTCTTTCTGTTTTTTAAGTTCCATTTTCAATTCTTCCAAGAGTGATACCATTTTAAAAACTTTTAAACAACCACCCGATTAATTTTAGTCCTTTAGATCCAATAACCAATGTAATCCAAAGCTGTTTCTTCTTCTTTTTCCCCACTTTCTCTTCCTGGGGTTCTATTTTGTTACAAAGTTTCCGTTAGAATGTATCTTTTAGGAATCTTGTTAAAGTTTCACTTCCAGGTGGTCTCCTCTCTTTTTCCAGATCCCACCCTTTTGTTTTTTCCTTTTCTCTCCTCTCCTTTTAAAATTTTTTGAGAATCCAGAAATCTTTATTACTCCTTTGACATTTTATTTTCAGCTTAAATGTCTGTTAATGTCAAAGTGGATTTTAGCCAGTTTCTTGCTTAAATCTCTTAGTTGTCAATATGGGGAAGGAAAGGAAAAAACCCCACCAAATCCTTTCCCTTCCCTCTCTCATTTGCTGCTTCAAAGTCTTCTTTGGGAACAATGCTTCTTTATAATTCAAATTCCAGGGTACCTTATATTGTTGCTTTTTCAGTTTGACCCGGTCAGCCAAAAATCTTTCTCTTCTTATCTTCCTCCTGCACATTCTTTTTCGGTCAAGTTCTTCTTTGAGGTGGCCATTTCTGACAACTGCTGCAACCGCCTTTGGGAAAGGGAGTAATGGCCAGCTGGGGAGGAGAGATGCGGTTCTCCTCGACCCTGCTGGCAGTCTCCCCCTTCTTCACCACCTCTACAAGGTGGCTTAGCCCTGAAACCAGCCGGCTTGGAGCGCTCCAGTGGCGAGCACAGATCAAAACCACGCACGATCGTGGATTTCGGTCTGTCACTGAAGAGAGGCTCAAACTGGACGTCCAAGAAGAGGGAGTATTGATGGTTCTCTGCATCAAATCAGGCATGATCATCTGAGATAAACTAATAGTTGCTGCTGAGGTACAAGGCAGGAATAAGCATATCAATGAAATACATATTTACCCTATATACCTTATGTTATTGATTTTAAAATTATTGTCATCTTTATTTTAATGAATATAAATTAATATACGTTGAAATGTCAGGGTGCTGAATTTCCATGATCCTCCATGAAACATTCTTGAGACAGTTTTTACAAATGTAATAGTGCCCCTAGTTTCTGTACACTTCAAATGGTAGGAGAAAAAGAGGCATTTTAAATAAGATATGTGTCTATATTGAATGTATTTCTATGTTAATTCACTTCTGCTTGTATAGAGTGAGATACTCTGTATAATTACTGTTTTAGAATATTTACCATCCGCCTTTCTGGATTTCTGAAGGTATAAGGAAGGTTAACACACAAAAGTGCTTATGGTGTAAGAGCAGAAGTACTTTCTGCTAATGCAAAAGTCCATAATTTTTCTGGGTCCAAGCATTAACTTCTGTATTGAAAGTTTGTGGAATGGCAACCCAATTGCTCCTGAACCAAAAGAAACATTTTCAGTGCTTTTTTATGAACTGCACACAGTTATGCATAGCAGCAGCCAAACTGCCTTTGCATGAAAATAATTTCCATACTCCCTTGTAGGCACCAACAGCTGAAGAAGCTGCTGAGGAAAGTGAGAGGCTTCTCAGAGAGCTCTACCTGTTTGATGTTCTCCGTGCTGACAGAACAACTGCTGCCTATGGGTAATGCTCAGCTGTAGATCCTTTAATTCCTTTCAAGTCTCTCTCTATAGATCTCATATTTTGCTTCTACATTTGCACCAAAATCCTTCTAGAAACTTTTTATAATGAAGGAGGTTTTTGATGAAGAACATGTTTTGCCCGTAGAGTTTTGTCTCCATTTTTCAAGCTTATTATTGGGAATGTCTTTCATATTTTGTGTGAAGTACAATTTTGCTATATAGTTTTACTTCATCAAATTTTTATCCTTCTTTCTACTTCACATTTATATTTTTAAATAAGAGGATAGACATGATTGAGAGAATCTATGGCATGAAATCTTTGGGCTTCAAGCATTTGCAACCATATTCAAGGTTTAGAGTCTCCAGGTCACTGTTTTGCTAATGCTCTTTTTGTGGCAGAAAGTTATGCCCTTACTTGGCTGTTTGCTTCGTTCTATCCAAGGGAAGATCTAAAGTTGATTCTAACATCCTCTTTTGTATCAAAAGCAGTTGTATCCTCAGTTAGGAAGCAGTGTGATTGTTCTCCAGTTTTGTTGTAGAACAGTTTTGTATCCAACAGTCCATGTATCCATTCCAAATTTATGACTAATGAACTTATGATAGCATCACATATCCTTCTAACAGTATAGTAGCTATGTCAGGCTTGGTCTCCAGCTTTGACTGTTCGTGTCATGAGAGACTCAATTCATTTATTTAGAATAAATAGTTTAATTTGGGGCTTCTCCCAAAGTGAGATTTTGAGTACCAAATCCGATGAGTTTCAAAGCAGTTGAGTATATATATTCCATCTTCATACACAGTGATACCCACTCAACTGCTTTGAAACTCCTTGAATTTGGTACTCAACGCATTTTGATGTGACATTTTGTTCTGGTACTCATTGTTTGGTAGTCAATGCACAAGGTGTAGAGCTTGTTGGTGTCGGCTGCTTTATGACTTACTACATTATTCAAAAAAAAATATTTGGTATGCATCACTTTTGGTAGTCATCAATCTTCTGGAGTAAATTAATGATGAGCACTGAGGTACCATTGTATTTGCTTTGGTAAGGGTTCCGAGACTATTGCATAGTCCAAAGAGAATTAAGTGAGAAAGGCAACACTATATAAGTGCATATCCAGTTGAGGCGTGCTGTCCTTAGCTATAAATCCCACTGAGAATACAGCACAATGCTATGTTTATATATTTGAAAGAACAGATGACCACTAGAATAAATTCAGTTACAAGTAATTTCTAATGATGTGACAAGGAAAAAAAATGTTAGCACTAGTTAAAATAATAATCAAAAAGAGTTACATATGTTCAGTTCAAATTATTTCTTTAATTCAGAATAAATAAATAATTCTCAAGGTTGAACTATTTGGAAGTATTATTCAAAAAACAAGTTACTGTTTTGGTGAAGAGACCTGAAAAGCCTTCCTGATTGGAAATTAGATGTATTTCTGCCTGTGTAGCCATGCTAGTTGAAGATGTGGAGAGGCATGTATATTGAGAGGGTACTGATTTGGGAAAAAACTAATGGACAATTTATATAATCAAGGTTATATACTTGAACAATGGCCTTTTCTCATATTTATTTTGTTTATTATTTACATCGTTATGCCACCAGATTCCCAGTAACTCTGGGCAGCTTACAAATAAAAACCACAAAAGCAGTAAAAGAATAAAAACAAAATTGGCAAATACTGGATAAAAAGAAGTACACTGCACTGCTCAGAAAGGGGCTTCGGTCATTTTTGCCAAAGATCTGGAGCAGGTCTTCAATGCCCTCTGCAAGACCAGGAGGATGGAGGCCATCTAGCTCTCCAGGGAACTTTATTCTAGAAGACAAGTCCTTGCTCTCTAAAATGAAGTTTCCCCTGGAGACCCAGTAGGCCTCCACCCTACTGGTCTTTCAGAGGACATTGCCACAGAGAAGGAACACTTCTGGTGCCCCAGTAGTTGGCATTGTTAAATCAAAGGAACCTGGAATGTGTCATTTATCTTACTAAGCTATAATGCTTACGTGTTATTCTTGGCGAAGCATGGCTTGTTTCCTAATTAAAGCTTAATGTTGCAAGGCAAAGTAGACAGTGGGTGGTTTTAAATAAATCATGATTTAATCATGGGTTACTTTCTGTTAGTGTATAAGTTGCACAGAATACCTTTTTCAAATCTATATGCTTATTTTGTACACCAATAATATTTGTTTCTGTTTTCAGTCTTGAATTAAGAGTTCCATTTTTGGATCACCAGTTTACTGCTTACTACCTTTCTTTGCCAGCAGAACTCAGAATTCCAAAGGTAAGCTAGCCTTTGCTACTAGACAAAAGAGGAAATTACAGTGTTATCTAATGAAGCCACAGTCTACATTTAAGATCCACTGATTACTCTCTGAAGCTTTGTATATGCTTGTGATTTTCAGCCTTAAGTTTTGATCATTAGTTGTCTTGCTATAGATGCAATTTCTTTAAACTGATCTCAATTGAACTGACAGATTTAGCATTCAAACCTAAATTCTACAACAAGAAACCATGCCAAAGACCTTGGTTACTCTTTAAAATGTGCTGAATACGGGATTGTCATGCTGATTTTTTTCTGAAATATTTTTTAGAATTTCTGACATTTATGCCTAAGGAATGTATTTATATGTGTTCTTGATTATGTTATATCTGCACAGAATGGAATTGAAAAGCACCTCTTAAGGGAAGCCTTTGAAGATTCTAACTTATTGCCTAAAGAAATACTTTGGAGGCCCAAGGAAGCTTTCAGTGATGGCTTAGCTTCTATCAAAAAATCTTGGTTCTCTATGCTACAAGACTATATTGACCTTCAGGTAATAGGTTGAATTTTTAAAGCCAGTCTGACTAAAATGCTATTTAATTCCTATAATAGAGCTAGTGTGAGTATATTGAAAGCAGATCATGAAAAACTTAGGGCAAAAATGGGCCATCTGTGAAACACATGAAGCCCATTAGCTTTGCATATGCAACCTTCCAGAGTGAATGAGGATGACTTTTAATTTCTTTGTTTTGGGGGAAGGAGTTGGGTAGCTTGACGGCTGAAATTGGTTATCACGCTTCTATTTAAATACTCTGATTTTTCTTGCTTTTGGGTTGAAGGTTATAATATACAGTGGTTCAGAATCTGGATCTCAAAACTTGAGTTGCATCAACATTACCTGCATTTTCACTTTGAATTGTGCTTTTCAGAATACAGAATTGAAACATAAAAAAGAATTAAATCTTGATTTTTTTAAAAAAATGTTAGCTTTGACAGCAAAAATTGAGTTGTTTCTGTAAATTCTCAAAACGTGTGTGTACACATAACCAAGCTTCCAAATTTATTATTTAAAAAAAAATAGATGTAATATTTGCATTAAGGAAGCTCAGATTCAAATATCTATTTGACTATGATTTTCATTGAGTGACTGCAGGCATTGTCTTTCATTCGTCTCCCAAACGTTATAATTCTAAAGATAAAATGGGACTCTTCTCCAAATATGTCAATTTGAGCTTCCTGAGGACAGGTGTAATTTAATTATTTTAATAGATCTTTTGTTAGCCATTCAAATTAGGCAGGGTTAAGAAATAGGTGTGACAAGTCCAGGTTTGTTCTTTATAAGGTAGTATAACAGATTATTTACCAAACTAAAACAAGGCAGGTTTGTTTGGTTTTTTAATTCACACTTTTCTGGGACTGAATACTCTTTTCTGAAAGTTCTTCCTTAAATTGAGTCATTTCTTCCTCATTCCCAAGGCCAGATCCACATTTTTTTCTACACGTTTTCATTTCTGTTTCCATTTTTACTGAGATGTATTTTGTGTTGTATTTTAGGAATGTGTATTTTGGTGTGTTTATTTTAAAGTAATTCTGGTTTTTCTGCTAGAGATCTTGTAACATAGATGGCCTAATATTATTATAATAATAGTAATGATAATAATATCTGAGAAAAATTGGTCCACCATCATTTCTTCAACCTTCTCATTCTCTTCTCAAATGAATTTCTCAATGGATCTTAGGCAAAGGTATCTGCAGGGAAAATAAAAAACTGCAGAATGGTAATGTATCATGACGCACATCAACACCACTGTGGATACCTTTGTCCTTATGAATTATATACGTTGTTTCTAAGTTGTTTAGTCCAATAATTCTGCAGTGTGATTTTAAAAAGAAAAAGAAAATGGAACAGAGAAACATAAGTTTTTGTTCATAACTTTTAAAATAAGGAATAATTCCCGATGAAGTCCTCATGTTGCTCTTTTGAATCGGCCTATAGGTGGATGATCTTTTGTTGGAGAAAGCTGAAGAGAAATTTCCATTCAATCCTCCCAAAACAAAGGAAGGATATTTCTATCGTCAGATCTTTGAGAAGCACTACCCAGGACATTCTACTTGGCTCCCGTACTATTGGATGCCGAGGTGGATTAAGGCTACTGATCCATCTGCTCGCACATTGAAGCATTACAAATCAGCTATAACTGAATAGCTTTAATATATATATATATATATATATGGAGGAATAATTTCTCCAAAGAGCTTGTTAAAATAGATGAATCTTGTTGACCTAAAGGAACTTAAAAAGCAATGTATTGGGTTTTTTTCTTCAAAAAAATTAGTTTATTAGTTTATTTAGATAAAATAGAATGTTGTTGATGATTCCAGCCATGCTGATAAAAAGAATGCCTCTTAGCCTTAAACGGCACTATGCAACAACTGATATACTCTAAAAACAAGCTTCAATGATAAAATGAAAGCTTGGAATGTAAGTCTTTATTCAGGTAGTTTAATTCACACTGATGTCAAATGATACATGAGCAACTTGAGCATACAGAGAATTAATAGTGGTTTAAGTGCACTTTTTCTGCAATTAATGTATGTTTGTAGTCTTATAAATAAAATAAAAGCTAATCTGAGTTCAAGTGGTAAATACTAGTTATTTTACTGTGGGAAAGGATAATTAACTTTAGTTTTTGTAAGTTTAAGATTCCCAGCAATTTCCAGCTGTGTATATCTGGGAAGTCTTGTTTGACGTATCTGGCCCACGAGTTTGACACCCTTGCCTTAGAGTGATTGTCATCATTCTATGATCAGACCTTGACCATATACAATTCATAGCTTTCTAACCACATTACAAATCACGATGCAGTCCATCACTGTTTAAAACTCTGCAAAAGAGTTTTCATATATTTTTCCTACAGAATCCCAATATAACATTATGCACTCAGCAGAATCCCCTTTACACAACTAATGCAATTCTACAGTTGCAATTGAGCATTAAATCTTTTTTTTCAGTAAAGCTTGCAGAATTATTTTTTCTAAATGAGAGGGCTGTTGGAAGCAAATTAATTTAGAAAATATATTTTCTAATTCTAACTCTGCAGGAGATTATTTAATATGTTAAAATAGACTTCATATATAACATCATGTGTAATAAAAATGTTCATGTTCTAAAAAGTTAAACAATACTTGAATAAATGCCTGGATTTGTTGATATAAAACTTTTGTCAAGTTTTTTTTCCTGTTTAAAATCTATTCTGAAACCACAAGATGGCGCCATAGAACTTCCGATGTATTTTAAGAGTGGAATTTATACCTTCAGCAGCTTTTAAGATGTGTAGACTTCAACTCCCAAAATTTCTCAGCAACATGCAGGGAGGGGTATCTTAAAGTTGCTGAGGTGAAGACATTGATCTACTGGATTAATTAATTGATTTGCAAAAACTATAAGTTACTTGATAGTGCAATATTTCCATAATGTAGTGCATAAAATACACTAAAAGCAAATTCCGATACAATGAACATAAAAAATGGCAGAGTTTTGACTACCAAGGAAGGAATAATTTTAATATTCTTTACTAAAACCTGCCTATATCTTTGTACATTACCAAGAATCATACTCAATAGAGACGACTACTGTTTTAACAATGGTAAGAGTAGAGTTTAACAAGAGTAGATTTTGATCCTCCAGACTTAATTCTTAATATGGGAAGAAATCACTTCCTAAAGAAATAACTTCCTAAAGAAATTCCTATCTGTTTTTGAAGAAAATAGATTTAGAGACAAAATATGTTCAGAGGAAGTGAACTAGATCTTTTTAAATTTAAAAATTTGTATGACACATAAATAATAAACATAATTATAAACAGACATATTTTCTTTAAGCTCTGATTTAGCTTGTTAGAAAAAGTTATTACAGTAGCAAACAAGCTTGCCAAAATTGAATGTGTAAGCAGGTGCTTTTCAGTCTGGCCGTCTCTCTCCCCCTCTTCCTCTCTCTCCCCCTCCCTCCCTTTCTGTCCCTCCATCTCTCTCCTCCCCCTTTTTCCCTCTCTCCCTCTCTACCCATTTCTCCCTTTTTTTCCCCCTCTCTCCCCTTTTATCCCTCTCTCCATTCCTCTCCCCCCTCTATCCCTTCCTCCCATTTCTCCCCCCTCCCTTTCTCTCTCCCTCTCTCTCTCCCTCTATGTGCCAGCATTTAGTTTTTTCCATCATTGGGAGATTATTTTTTTTCTCATTCTTTAGAATGGAAAACTTACACACATCACATACATGCACGAATACCTGGTGCTGTTCGGATTGCCTAAAAATAAACTTGTGCATTCTTCTGCATATAACAGCGTTTGCTGCAATGCCATACAGATACTCCTCAATACACAACCATTTGTTTAATGATCACTGAAAGTTACAACAGCACTGAAAAGTGGAGCTACAACTATTTTTCACACTTATGATAGTTGCAGCATCCCCATGGTCACACAATCAAAATTCGAACATTTGTCAACTGGCATGTATCTATACCAGTTGCAGTGTCAGGGCTAACATGATTATCTTTTGCGACCTTCTATCAATGGAGAAGTCAGATTCATTAACAACATTGTTATTAACAACTGCAGTGGTTCACCTAACAGTAGCGAGAAAAATGGAGCAAAACTCAGTTAACAATTATCTGTCTTAACAATGGAGATTTTGGGCTCAATTGTGCAAGTAGAGAACTACCTGTATAAACTTCACTTGCTGGCTTTCCTGTCAAATGATATGCAGTTATTGTGGCGAAGCACACCTAGATAAAACTTTGTTGCTGAAGATATGCCACCCACATTTCCTGGATGAATTCTGTAAGTTAACATTTGTGGAATTCCTGTGTTTAAATCTTGTCGATTTCTGTTTACTTCCTTATTTTCATCAGCAGGTGGCAGTAACTGTTCTGGATATTCTGCCTGTCTCCGTACAATGTTACTTATATCCTGTATTTCCTAAAGTACTTTCTTCATTGTCAATTAAAAGAAAAGAAAAAGAAATGTTCTTAACCAATATTTTGTTCTGATGAATTGGGTTACGGGGTCAGCACTGAGAAATCAAAATATAATATAAACATTCTGTTTTTAAGAGAAAAATAGATTTCAGTTAACAATGTAGACAAAATGATAGCATCAATTTGTGCTTTCTGCCACAGGCACTTTGCAAAAGAAGTAGGAGATTTTCTGATTACTGCACTAGTTGTTCATTACAAAAAATAATTTAAATTATGAAGATATGGTAAAGTTTAAAATCCATTGCTTTACTAGCTGCATTTTCTGTGCATTACTTATAATTATTGAAAAGCTAATGAAGAAAAGTAGGAAGTTAGAAAACGAAAGGAAAGGAAAGGTTTATCCTATTACTTAAATAGCGTGTGGACAGCAAAACAAAAAACAGCAGTAGAAAATAAATGATACACCATAAAGTAACATTGGTACTTATCTATTGGACAAATTTGTTTTATGGCTATAATAACTGACAGCAAAGATATTGGAAATCCCTTAAGTAACAGCTGAACCACTGTCTTGTAAAGTCACTTGGTACTTTGAAAGAAGCAAAGGGCTTCCCTTCCCTTTCCCCACACACCCCCATCCCATCAGATAGTGTGACTCTGACGGCAACAAGAAATGGAAGTTTTTAAGAGCCTGCTTTTATCTTCCTTTCTCACTTTGCCCAATGTCCCGGGGAACTGCATTGTTTTGGATCTATTAGTTACGGCTGCATTTTTCTATAGAAGGGGAAATAACCCCGCCAAATTAGCCTTTAGAAAGTTTCAAGCCATTTGCAGAGGGCTGTTAAATAAATGGCACTGTGCCTTAATTTGATTGGTTTTATGTGCACTTATTAATGTGTAAATACTGGACCTAGCTGCCCAGCTGGATTAGAAGTCCAAGGATGTACATGCCTACCACTCCGCAGTTGTCACTGAAACCAGCCATGCCTAGACTTTCAGATTTAAGAATCCACGTTAGCAAACTTTTTGTTTGCTAACATACATACATGCATATCATGCATGCATTATGTATATGTGTATATACTATGTTCCCCTGAAAATAAGACCCTGCCTTATATTTTTTTGTCACCAAAAAGGGTACCAGGTCTAATTTTCAGGGAAGTTGTCATCCACTGACTCGCCTCACTTGCACACATCACCCATGGCTTCCTTTTTGCTGTCAGAGGCCTTCAGGAACTTCTTTTTCTGTGGCCAGCAAGGCTTTTCTGAAGACCTCTGCAGGGGATAACAGAGCAGATCAAAGAAATAGGCCAGCAAGGCAGGTGTTGGAGTGTGCGAGGCCTGCAACTGTCCAAAGGTAAGTAGTAGGGCAGCTCCATCCCCCTATTCCCATCCTAACTTAATTTTTACCCATGTACCCTGAAATGGGGGGGGTAGGGCTTATTTTGGGGGTAGGGCTCATATTGAGCGCACATGTAAAAATCAATCTAGGATTTACTTTCAGGATAGGTCTTATTTTGGGGGAAATACAGTTTATATATATATTATATATATTATATAATAATATATAATATATCTTATATATTAGAAGTCCAAGGGTGTACATGCCTACCACTCTGCAGTTGTCACTGAAACTGGAAGCAGCCATGCCTACACTTTCAGATTTAAGATTCCATGTATATATGTGTGTGTGCATGTGCGTACGTGTGTGTGTGTGTGTGTGTGTGTGTATTCAGCTTTGTTTGGGTATTTTCCCACACCATTATAGTTGTGCTTTTAAACACACTTCCTCACTAGTCCAACACATGAAAGCCACAGGTCATAGCATCGACTTCAATGGCACCAAAACCCTAGCCACTATAGAAAACCCCAGCCACAGAATTATCAGAGAAGCCATAGAGATTGAAAAAAGACCTGAAAGCATGAATAGAAGAGATGACTCCACCAGACTGTCAATTATTTGGAAGCCTGCACTCACAAACAAAAAAATCTCCACACCACAAGCCAGGCAAACACCTGGGCACAAACAGACCCCCCCCCCCCCCCGATACCTCCAGCTCAAACACACCCCAACCAGGCACCCAGATGAAGCCTAGATTCCTAATAAATGATAGGCGTCCGTTTACTCAGAGCCAAACCACACTAAAAGCCTCCAATACAGGAAACACAATGTTGCCAGCCAATCAAGACAAAAAAAAAAAAAAAAGCTACAAAACAGACAGAAGATATTAGAAACACCAATCAAGCAGAACACAGCAAACTCCAAGACCAGTAAACACAGACCAAGACTCCCAACCAATCAGGATGAAGAAAAAAACATTCTGGCACAGCAGTAGGCTAGCACCAATTTTAAAACAGAAACGGCTGTGAAAGTCTGACTCACAGACGAACACAATACAGAAGCCTGATGATGGCAGGTGAGATTCTGCCAAAACGTTGCTACAACTTTAAAGCACAACTATAATGACATGGGAAAATACCCAAACAAAGCTGAATAACATACATATAAATACCCGCAAAAACTTAAGAAAACATACATACATACATACATACATACATACATACATACATACATAATTTCTACCATTTGGCTTCTGAATTGATTAGTCTTGTCCTTGTTCTGAAGTCAGAAATCTCTTGTGCCTCTTCAAAAGTCTGCCTTGGGCA